ATCCTGTACTGGTTCGCTAGTATCATGGATGAGGTAGGAAATGTGTCAAGAGTCTTTTGAATCATGTCATCTTCGGTGATTGGCTTACCACAAAAGATGAGACGTGCCTTAAGACGCAACATATCTTTGACAAAGTCATTTGTCCGTTTATAGTCTAGCAAACGGATTTCATTCCATTGCGCATTCAGTTCTGGGAGCAGAGTATCATGAATGTTCCCAAAACGTCCCTTAAGGGCATCCCACAGTTCTTTGGGGGTTTTCAACTGAAGATATTCCCAACGTAAACTTGGGTCAATGTGTCGCCTTAGGAACATTAAAGCATTTGCTTTCACTTTTTCAGATGGTGCATCTTTCAATTCACTGGGGTCTTTAAATGTGGCAGAGAAGTCTTTAGCCACGAAAGCCATTTCTACATCAGAAACCCAACGGTGGTACTCAAGTCCTTCTGAGTCCAAAATGTCAAATTCAGGTCTAGTGGGATCAGTTATTTCTAAATAAAATGAAAATAAACAATCATAAGTAAATTGATATCTTGAAATGAGAGTTTTTATCATATAATTCATGGACTCTCCTTTTTGTTTTGTTTTATATTTTTTTATAAGGTAAAATATTTTCATGCACAGAAATACTAGATATGTCATTCATTTATGGCAAACAGATATATGCTCTTCGGGTAAACACATAAAAACAGTGTATATTTTCAATTTGTGCCAAATCCACTTTAAAAAAAATTTCGTGAAGTCATTAGCCGTGAACTAAATATGACTATCATAATATGATTATCACATATAAAGTCGCATAAACTAGAGTCATAAACCTCAATTTGGAATTTGTTTGGGGTCTTCACTTGAAGACATTCCCTAGACAGTGTTTTGCCTTTTTTTTGTGACAAAAGCTGTAGTGTAGTTTTTCATAAAAATCATAATTTGAGTATAAGAAGTTTCAACAATGGGAGTAAATTATTTGAGTTGAAAAATGAACTACACCGTTACAGTAAAACATTGGAATGTATTACCCACAATAAACATACCAAATGTATTAAAATAAATTAAATAAAAAGGAAACTGATTTAATGTAAAGATTTATTACATTTTTTCCAGAAAAAAAATGCAAGTTCCAATGCATATAAAATCCCAAAAAAACAGTCTTTGACAGAATTTGGGTAAAATCCGTGATTTTCATCCATGGCAATCAAAACTAAGATTACAAAAAAATGTAAAATGATTTCAGCTATATCACATAGAGATCACACAAAAGAAAACAGCAAATTGGGTTTATGTAATCAGGATTTAAGAGCGCACATATGCATCGTAATTCAATAGCAATAATTTGGGGGGGAAAAAACCTGGACCGTAGGTGCGAGATGCTGTGCAAATTGGTTGGGGTCGTGCGATGGGAAGAAAACCGCAGTTGCTGTGCGATAGACTGAGATTTCGGGGAGACGGGAAAAAAGCTTAGATTGACAGAGATTTCTGGTGCTGCTTCTTCCGATTTGGTCCTCGCGGTCGTCTGTGCCTCACGATCGGGAAGAAGGCTTCTCCTTCAGATTTGATTCGCGATGTTCGACGGCGACTAGCGATGGTGTCGTGGGGAAACTCAGATGATGGGAATCGTAGACTTGGCGGCGTGGTCCTTCTGATCTGATTCGCGATGGGGAATCGAGAACGGCGATGGGTGTTCTTTTCAGGAAAAAAAAACTAGGGTTTTTCTCGAGCGCAGTGCTGATAACGTGTTATGGTATGGGAGATGTATGTTTTGATAATAGCTCCCTTATATAGGGAAGAGCTTCGTAGGGTTTTTACAAGAGAAGGCTCACGGGCCAGTACAACTATATTACACAATATAAAGTAAATTTTATTTACACAACAGCACACTAATAAACAAATTCCTTCAACATTGATATAATTTTTAAAAATATAAATTGTACTCCGGGTACTATCTTTTATTTTAACGGAGTATGGCAAAAAATAAATAAAATCATTTTCTTAAAAAAAAGAAATTTTACATTATTCAAAACAGGACAATACTTTAAAAGTACTTCAACTTATGACTGATGAGAGTCCACAACCTGATACAATCTACACATACAACAATTTTTCTAACAATAAAAAGCATTCATGTCGACTAATTTCCAATAATATACTATGTTTTACATAATAAGTGTAGAGGAGAACTAATTAACCGTAACTATTTTCTGCCGTGCTTCTTCCGGCCGCTCCTCGCCTCCCGGCCTTCTTGCCGTGTCCACCCTCCCCCTGTCTTCTCGTTTTTTAAACAAATCAAAATCATTAATACCTTTTAATAGAGTCAATAGCTTTCAAAAGAAAATTTTTACTACATATTTTTACCAGAATCGTTCATACTTGGGGTACTTTAAATAATAATTGTTAAAATTCCAATGGGCCGAAAATAACAAATAGGGCATCGGATAAAATTAACCACTTATATATAAAGTCGGGATCCAATATTCACACCCAAAAAGTTAAACTAGATTTTTACCTTTCTATATACGGCCCGGTTCCATGGCCACTGGAATCCAGTGGCCACGGAAGCCACTGCCCCCCTACGAAACTCCGTTCATAAAATTGATGATTCCTACCCCCCTAACCCCCCGCCAAGTCCCGACCCAAACTCATCACCCCACCTACGTCAATTGCACCTCGTAAGCATAAAGTCAAAATTTTTGACTTTAAAGTGAATTATGCTTACGAGGTGCAATTGACGTAGGTGGGGTGATGAGTTTGGGTCGGGACTTGGCGGGGGTTTACCGGGGGGGTTAGGGGGGTAGGAATCATCAATTTTATGAACGGAGTTTCGTAGGAGGGCAATGGCTTCCGTGGCTATTGAATTCCAGTGGCCATGGAACCGGGCCGATCTATATATGCTAGTAATATTCTTCTATATTTTCCGATGGAGAAATCCAACAATAATGAAAGGGTGTTGGCTTTGCCACTACTTTTCAGCTAAGACAAATTATGATGTAATCATGGGGTAATTATTTTATGTACTTTAGTACATAAAATAAAGACTAAGGGGCTATTTAGCAACTTCTGAATAGGTAAGTGCTGAACCAAGAGGTTTGAACCATTGAGTGCTGAACCATTAAGAGCTAGTATATGGCTTTACTATTCAGAGGCAAATGTCTAATCAATTTAGATAAGAGGTCTTAACCATTCAGACTCTGTATAATACTTAACCATTCAGAGACAAACCTCTTAACCATTCAGACATCTGAACCATTAAGAGGCTAAAACAAAGAGTCTGAACCATTAAGTGCTGAACCATTCAGACATCTGAATCATTAAGAGACTGAAACAAACAGCCTCTAAGAGTTTGGACTTTTTGTATAAAGAAAGGTCTATTTGTGAGTCTACGAGGAAGATTCACATTTCACATGTAACAAAAATACAAATCTTCAGCTAAACTCACTATTTATAAAAATAATTGACAATTTTATACATAAATAGAAGAGACAAACTAGCTCTAGCCCAACTTTTAAAAGTAAAATTATTCATTTAACATAAATTAAACGGATTTAGTCACAGTTTAATGAAAAAACTGAATTTTTATCGAAGTATAATATGAACACTCAAAACAAACAGTTAGAAAAGAGCAAAGAAAATATATGGCAATGTGGGAAAAAAATGAGGCAGAGAAGAAGCCAACTGACCCCTATGCAAAAATCGGAAGAACTTCTCTTGTTTGAGACATTATGGTTGCTGTTCTTGAAAAAACTGCTGGTGTTGCTGTTGCAAGATGATGCCGAGGAAGAAGGAAAGGATTTTGTCTCGACGAAGAAACTGGTGGCGCTGCTCTGGAACATCTCCTCAAACATCACCTGCAATTCCTCGAAACTCTCCCCCTCCGGTTTTTCCTGATGATTGATTGAATTTATTTTCAATTCTATTTGCTCTAAAATTAGTGCAAAAAAAATACAACCTAAAAAACTTTCGATCATTTTGATTTTCACGAAATTTATAGTATGTTGAAAAATAGAAAATGAATGTTTAAAATTTATCTAGATGAAAGATAAATCTTGTGATAATTGATAAAATAATTGTCAAGAAACCAAATCAACTAAAAGCTCAAGCTTGTGGTTGTAGTCCAGAAGTATTTCTTATATTCTAATGCGCCCCCTCACGTGCAGGCGTAGTCTTTTTTGAACCTTGCACGTGATATTTTAATTTTTTTAAACTGGGTGACTCTGAACATGTGACCTCTTAGTCGACAAGACTCCGATACCAAGTCAAAGAACCAACTCAACCAAAAGTTCAAGATTATGGTTGTAACCAGGAAGAGTTATTTATATTCTAAACAATAATAAAATAGCAAAAAATATTTTGCATGTTTTGTTGTTTTGGTGAATACAAAGACTATCCCCTCTTTAAATAGGAACATGATATATCAAATAAAAATAAAGTTCTACTCTTATCATAATTTCATTCCTACCATGACAAGAAAACTACCAAAACCAAATACTGAAAGTGAATCATAACAACAATAAGAATAATATATTCCATAACACTCCCTCTCAAGCTAGAGGATGGAAAACCAAACATTGAAAGTGAATCATAACAATATTCAGAATAATATTATTCCATTGCGCTCCCTCTTAGGCTAGAGGATGGAGATTTTGTGTGCCGAGCTTGGACAAAAGATAAAAAATGGCACAAGAGGTAAAGCTTTAGTCAAAATGTCAGCGTGCTAATCCGGACATCGAAGATGAGCTATGAGGAGAACACCTTTTTGAATTTCATCACAGACAAAGTGGCGATCAATTTCAATGTGCTTTGTGCGCTCATAGAAGACTTCGGCAGTGATAAGAAGAGCTACCTAACTATCTATCACAAAGCTACGTCATGGATTAGGGATGAGCAACACCGAGAGAAGACAATAAAGACTTGAGCCTTTTGAGCACATACATCGCAGTAGCCATGACCTTGTACTCAACTTCTGCGGAGGAACGAGAGATAGTGTTTTGCTTCTTAGTACTCCAAGAAATGGGAGAAACACCCAGGCACGTAAAGTATCCTATCTCAGAACGACGAGTAAAATGACAACCCACCCAGTCAAAGTCACAAAATCCAGTGAGAGTAAAACTGCAGTCAACAAGTAAAAATAAGCCTTGCCCAAGTGAAGATTTAATATAGTGAAGGACATATAAGGTAGCGACCTGATGCTCCTGACGCGGCTCTCCCATGAAATGAGAGAGAGTATGCACGGCACAATTAAGATCAAGTCGTGTGATAGTCAAGTAGATCACCGACGGTAGTAGCCAGGGTAGGTGAGGAGTGCCCCATCGACGAGGGCCAACTGATGGATGGTTCGACAGAGGAGGCATACTAGTCGTGCTTCTAAATGTCCTGTTTTAGTGAAAATGTCGAGTTCCTTAATATGAAAGCACTTTGCGAGATAAGCCTTGAAGCAAGCAATAAAAAGATCATTTTTTCCTTCAATAACGAGATCATCAACATAGATAAACTTTTGACAAAGGTGAATAAAGAATAATCTACTTTGGACTGAGCAAAAGCAAATGCTCTGAGTGAAGAGGAGAGATTGAGGAACCGACAATGTGGAGCCTGTCGCATTTATGAAGCCGACGGACCATGCCACGATGCTTGGAAGCGACACTGAAGGGCAAACGCATGTAAACTTCTTCGTTAAGATCACGACGAAGAAAATCATTGCGACGAAAAGATTATCCCAAAGATTTTATTATTGTCTAAATCGAGCAACCGCCATCCTTTTTAACCAAAAGAATATCCCAAAAATAGACAATGGGAGGAACGACTAGCAAACTTATCACCCCCATGATTTTGATTGTGAGCATAAGCTACGATCAAAAACTCCAATATGAGTATAGAAAGGTTCTTGACCAAAAAGAGTGGCACAGGGAGTTTTTCCTTGAAGAAGTGGAGTGGGAGTGCAATTTAAGAGATATCCTGCTGTAAGGATACACATACACAATCCTGAGAAAGATAAGGGCAGATGAGCCTAAAAACAGAGAGCTCTGACTATGTTTAGGATATGGCAATGCTTTTGTTCAGCCCAGCCATTTTGTTAGAGGGTTCCAACACAAAATGATTCAAACAAAATTCCATGGGTGTCAAAATAGGATTTTATGCAAGTAAATTCAATCTCACTATCACTACGAACTCTTTGGATTTGTAAATCAAACTGGCAATGAACCATGAAAATTTTGCAAAAAAATGGCGGGGGTTTTTTCTTCATGATTTAAAAGATAAACCCATGTGGCTCGGGAAAAATCACCCAAAATTGTTAAAAAAATACCTAGCCCCTGTTCATTAAGCTATACGATTGTCACCCCATAAATCACAATGAATCAGAGAGAAAGGTTTATTAGATCTGTTTGTTGCTTTATTTGAACTAACAAGAAAAGATTCACGACACTGCTTTGGACGAAAACCAACATCACGAGGAAAATTAAATGAATTCTTTTCTTATTGGAGGTATTTGCGAAAGAAATTTGAGAATGGTGTGGGATGGATGACTCATACGCCTATGCCATATGTCCGAACCACTAGCACTCGCACCGTGTAAACTTAGACATTCACGCATTCACACCATTCTTGAGATAAAACAGTATATCAATTTGTTCCCATGTTCCAATCACCGTCTTTGAGATATCCCGCATAACACACTTTTTGTTAATGAACTGAATAGCTAATTGCTTGTCCTCAAGGAGTTGCAAGACAGAAATAAGACTACAATTGTGTTGAGGCACAAGTAAAACATTTTTTAGAGTCAACAAACCACTCAAAGAGACACTCCCTTTGCGGTCGGCTTTCGAGCTCTCGCCATTGGGCAAGCCAACTAAGCACAAAGTTATGTGTTCAATGTCCTTCAGACACATCTCGTCTCCCGTCATACGTTGACTAGTGCCACTGCCAGCCGCAGTCTTGTGTCTTAACCAGCCACAGTCCTTGCATTTGTGTCTTTGAAGGGGTTAGTTTCGCGTTTGAGCCCTTTAATGTGACCACAAAACTGCTGGATTCTATTCCTCCTTTTGTATCATCTTCAACACCCCCTCTTCTTGAATGATCACGTCGTAGACTAAGTTCCATAAGGCCAAAGGTTCACCGCTCATAATATTAGAGTGCGGGCGTCCATATCCTTCATTGTCTATACCCATCAAAAATTGATTTACTTTTTTCTCGGTCTCTTTATTTGTCAAGAGCCACCCTAATTCCACACTTGCAATCATGACTTCTACACGTAGCGATTTTTTCAAGATCACTCAACTCATCCCATATAGTTTTTTATTTGCCATAGTATGTCACAATAGCTTACACGTTTTGTTTACAATGATGAACCCCATGTCCATTAGTCACAGGAAATCTAGCTTGTATATCATTCCACAATTCTATTGCTTCTTAAACCTTTGTTATAGAGGTTCGCATTTGGCGGTATTGTAAATCCATAAAACCATGACATTAACAATCCACCATTTATCAACGTTTTCATCCCCATCATCATGGCATATGATGGTCCCGCCAATGTATCCAAATTTCTTTTTGCGTGAAGAGCGATTCATAAGACTCTTGCCCATTCTTCATAATTTCCCAATCAATTTGACTAGGGTGATGAATAATCCACATGTTTCGGCATATTTTAATACATAGGGACTTACCTTCGAGATGAGATTTTCCTCCCTTTTTAATTAGTTTTGCATCGTCACCGGACATGGCCTTGTTGGTGTTGGTGGCTTCGCCGATGGTGGTGGGTTCAGATCCTCAAGTTCATATACTCCAATACCATGATAAAATCATAATAGGAGAAAATATTTTGTATATTATGTTGTCTTGGTGAACACATAAACTATCCCCTCTTTATATTAGGAAGAGAAAATATCAAATGAGTAAAGCTTTACTCTTACCATAATTATTTATTACCATAACAAGGAATACTACTAAAACTAAACACAACAACAACATTAACCCAATACCTCAATGGCCCCCGCTTATTGCGAGGTAGTGGGTCGGATTTACGCAGTTTGACCCCTATGTTTAAAACATAGAGCGACTGTTTTTAAATGACCCATGATGAGCGTCGAAAGTTGCATTGACTCACTGCTACTTCACAATTGCAAGAAGTGTAGACAGTTCAAAGAATCAATTTGCTTTATTTCATCATACTCCACAGCCAAAAAATACTGAATCTTTGGCTCACAAGGGAATGGAAATTAAAACTAAATGTGGAAAGTAAATCATAATAATAAAAATAAAATATTTAGTAACAATAAAAAATTCATAAGTGTTTTTTGAAATGTGTAAAAAAGTAAAATTTTTAATTAAATTTATTTTAAAGCTTTTTTATAATAATTGACTAAATTTATTTTCATTTTAACTAATTTCTACTCACGCTGGATTTCATGTCGTTCATCATAGCAGCCATTTCATCAAGAAAATCACCCATTCCCTGCAACATCAGTAATATTTCATGATAGAATTTATAATTGAATAGGGCTTCACTTGATTGGATTAGAAGATACTAGAACCAATTCCCATTCGAAAAAAACTGAATTCGGTGTATATTTTTAACCAATTATTTTCCCTCTTTGGGTTCACCATAAATTTTCTCAAATTCTGTTTATCCACCATATTACTTGTTTTTAAATGCCAAAAAATCTTTGCTATTTATTATTACCCATTTTTTGCCCACACTAGGGCCGGCTAGGCCCACAATGACAAACAATAATGATTTTGATAATACAACGGTCGTAAACTAAATCAATTTTTTGAAGAGCAATGCTAGGTTCACAAATTAAATAGTCACAAAATTACAAACTTACCATTTATGGTTTATATTTCTATTTTAAATTATTTTTAACTATTTTAATTTATTTATTGAAACTCACAAATAGTAAGTTTGTGAGAATTGTGATCATTTTGTTTGTGAACCAAGCATTTCTCTTTTTTTAACTCAATGAGTTCTAAATCAACTAATCAATCTGTTTTGAGCTTAATAGAAAATTGAATTTAGTAGAGTGAAATTATAATGAGAAGGAAAAATCTTTTTAAACCATTACTTTGGGTTAAGATTGTGACATCAATTCAATCGGCGCCCCTACAATGCTCTGATCCCAAGGTTCCTACCCCCTACGGCCCCTAGTAAACTTTCAACTCGGACCGAACCTAAAGCACCCTCACACTCCCTTCCAACTGCCCCACCCAAATTTTATTGACATTTGGAGTCAAATTTTTTACCCAACTTTGGACACTGCAATTGGAAAAGGTGCAGAGGTGCGTTATGGACGAGCCAAACTAGGGATTACCCCGAATTAGAGAGTAGGAATTGCAAAATTTCATATCAAAGCATCATAGGGTGCCATTTGAGTTGGTGTCAATTAATGATGTAAGATTACTCCTCAATCATAATATGTATGAGTGGAAGTGATTACATTTTCATCATCTTCATCATCAAAGTCGTAAACTCCAACATCGTATAAAAACCTTTTGTTCGTGTCTGATAGCACTGCAAAGTAATTAAAGTTTGACAGACCATGAAAACTTTTGGGGAACAAAGGAAGTATATATATGGAGCAAGCAAGCAACGAGGAGGGGAATTACCAGAATAGGCTTGTTGAATGGCCTGGAATTTCTTCTTCGCCTCTTCCACACTCTTCGAGTTCCCCCTCCCTGAACAACGATCCGGGTGCCATTTCTGTTTTTTTTTGGAAATTAAACAGCTTTCAAGATTGTATGATGCATTTGATAATTCACAGTAATTTGTTTATTAAATATAGCAAGCGAATAAATATGTTTGAAAAAAAAGAGCATACAATTAATGACAGAGTTTGATAGATTATTTTTCTGAATGAATTATAACTCTACCAATACACGAATATAAATAACTAATTGGATCGTTTTTTATAGAATTTGAAGTGTGGACAAGATTCAGTTTTGGAACTTTAGTTTTTTTTTTGAGGAAACCTAGCCGAAACCTGGACAATATAAATAAATTTAGTTTTTTTTTTGGAACTGGAATTAGAATAGCCGAGACGACTCTGGTTTCAGTGGTTTGGGTTCCATTTTTAACTTTTTTTGTTTTAAACATAGAATTTGTTCACTAACTTATTTTTAATACTATTACTTATTCTTATTTGAATCAAATTAGAATTTATTCCAAGAACATTATAACTATTCAAATTAGGTGGAGAGAAGAAGCTCTAGTCTCAATTTATTTTAGATTAATTCACATTCTCCAGCAGTATAGTGTGATACAGAGTAATACGGTGAGTATGACAGGGCAAGAATGACAATGTCCCATTTTGATCTTAAAAGAATTAAAACTCTATTTTAATATTTTCATACTTTCACAAAACACTTTTGTTCTTATTGTTTAGGCAGTCCATAAAATACTTCTTCTCCCACTTAAAATGTCTAAAATATCTCCAAAAAAAACTTACCAGCAGTAAACTTCTCCCCCGATCCTAAAAACTTTTTGACTTTTTTTGATCGATTGTTTGAAAACAAATTAAACATAATTTAAACAAAAAAATGATATAAAAATTTGATATATCAAAACTATATTTTAAGACGAACCCAATTATATTGAATTTATGTTATAATTAAATATTTGAAGAGAATGGCTTTTAGGATTGGAGGGAGTATGTTTCTCACAATTTGTCAATGTCACTATTTAACCCAAAAAAATAAAAAAAGAGATAAAATAGAGTGTATTTTATACTCTAACATTTTAATCGAAAGTGAAAATATTTAATTGGGTGAGGAAAAATTTAGGACAGAAATATTTTGCCAAACGAAGAGAGTACTTCTTTCCCTCCCCCTCTTAAAAGAATGGACTGGATATTTGATTCAATTCTAGACATGTTCATACAAAAACTGAAAACTGGAAAAACAAAAAAACAGAGCAAAAGAGATATAGAGAGAGAGACCAGGGCGAGTTTCTTGTAAGCAGATCTGAGTTCGGCCACGCTGCATTCCTTGTTCAATCCCAGCACTCCGTACAGATCTTCTTCTTCTCCATTCCTCCTTTTCTCTCCTTCTCCTCCTTCCATTTTATTTTCTCTCTCTCTCTTTAGTCTTTCCCGCCCTTTTTTTTCTTGGTGTCGACGAATTTTATGATACGATCAATCACCAATGCATATTCCGATTAACAGGCTCGGAAAGAAGCATTCATTAATTTTTCCCCTATCTGAGCAGGGGAAAAATAAGGTTCAAGAAGAAGGCTCAAGATTCGGAACGTTCGTTATATATATATATTTATGTACGAGTATAGGGAAAACTGGGATTTTTATTTATTTATTTATATATTTTTTTGATAAGGATGGACGGCGGAGATGGGAGGAGGAAGAAGATATTTTTGTGAAGCCTCTCTCTCCAGAATGTTCTCTTCTCACTGTTCACTTTAAAAGGCCTAAAGGTGCGGCGGGGCTTATCAATTGAAAAAAAATATATCAATGGGGGTAGGGGTGGACACGGTACCGGTACCGGAAACGGTACCGCCGGTTCCGGTACCGTTACCATCGGCCGGTACGGTCCACCGGTTCCGGGAACCGGTACCGGTACCGCCCAATCCGGTACCGGTTCCGGTGCCCATTTTTCGGTACCGGGACCGGCGGTTCCGGTTCAGGTACCGTTACCGTTTTTTTTTATTTTTTTTTAATTTCATTCTTTCCTTTATCAATTTCATTTTTAGATTTTTTTATTTCATCATTTCCTTTAACAATTACACATTTACAATTTTACATTTTAAAAATATAATAAAAAAGCAAAAAAAAAAAAATTAGGGGTGGCCGAAACGGTACCGGAACCGGCGGTACCGGAACCGGTACCAAGGGGTGGCGGTACCGGAACCGGCGGTTCCGGAACCGGAACCGTCCCGGAACCGTACCGTGTCCACCCCTAATGGGGGGTGGTGAATGGCCATGTGAAAGTAGGCCTGGACACGGTACGCATCGGCACCGGTACCGGCGGTACCGAGTACCGTCACCGTCACTGGAGACGACCAACCTGTTTCTGGAATCGGTACCGGTACCGCCTCAACCGGTACCGTGTCCGGTTCTCAATTTTCGTCACCGGCACCGGTGCCGGTACCGGGTGCCGGTTTAATTTTTTTTTCTTTTTCTTGCTCCTGCCAATGGATACTTGAAAAAAATGAAAAGTCAGTGGGGGGTGGAGGGGCCGGCCTCAACGGCTCTTGAGCCGTTAGAGGGGGGGATGGGGATTGGGGACTTGGGGAGGGGGGCTAAAAAATACTCCGTATTATAAATACCCTTTTTTTCATAAAATATCACACTCAAAATCTCAAATACTCAATCCATCTCTCATTCTCTCAAATCTCAATCTATCATTCTTAATTTCTTAATTCTTATCAATCATTCTTAATTTCTTAATTCTTATCTATCTTTTTTAAATATATTATATTTTAATATATAAAATTTCGAAATTTTTTTAATTTTTCCAAAAGTAATATATTATTTTAATATCAAAAAAATATATATTAAAATGTCGAGGGAGTCCGGTAGAAGGTCCGTGGATATGGGCAATGTGAACCGAAGATTGAGTAAAGGCAAAACTAAAGCCACCTCCGACGGATCGACCTCACGCGGACGCGGTTCTCGAGGAAGACACTCCGTCTCTTCGTTTCCTACTGTCCCAGATCATTTAATCGGGGACGCTATGACGGATGAAGAATTCAACCAGATTTATTCTGGTAGAGGGGACGCGAATCGAAGCATTACATGAATGCAACCAAAGATGGAAGTCCGAGTTTTGAAGAATAAGTTATAAATTTTTTTTTATGTTAATGTAAATATGTAATTAGTTTTTTTAGGTGTGCGATATATAAGCTTTTTCGAGGGTTTCTTTACGGTTCTTTACCTCGTCGCTTTTTTTGAATCGTCAAGATATAAAATGTGGTTGTTCTTCAGTTAGTGTATTACTCATTTTCAATATTTAAATAACAACTACATTTTTAGATTTTTTATTTCATTCTTTCCTTAAACAATTGCAAATTTACAATTTTATACTTTAAAAATTTAAAAAAAAGCAAAAAAAATAAATAGGGGGGGCGAACCCGGCTGGTCCGGTACCGGAACCGCCGGTCTGGGAACCGGAACCGGTACCGGCCGGCACGGTGACGGTTCCGGTGACATGGGGTGGCGGTACCAGAACCGTCCCGGAACCGTACCGTGTCCACCCCTATGTGAAAGTATAAAAAAAGGTGGTTAATTCGTGAAAATTAAGGAAAACAAAAAACTACTCTCTCCGTCCCTAAATATTTGTCACACTTGCATTCCCGAGCCAAAATATTAATTTATTTCAATTCATTTTATTTACATATTAGTATAGAAATAAAAAATAAAATTTATATATCAAAAAGGTACATGAAAATTTTTCGAAATAAGAGGTGTCAAAAATATTTTAATTTATCAAATAACCAATGAAAATGTAAAAATAAACAAAAATTCTCGCGACTGCTGAAAAAGCAAGTGTGACAAATATTTTAGGACGGTATAAATGTACTCCAAATTAGATAAGAATATACACTACTCAATTATAACGTGGATGAAATATCATTTTGTTTATTTAGAAAAAGTAGTTTTAAAACACTATCATATTTTTATAAAAACATATTTCATTCGTTCTTAAAAGATTACTATAGTTTGATTTTATTAGTCAAACCGTGACATCCTTTTACCATAAATTAAATATAGTTTAAAATGATTAAATATTATAAAAATTTGATATTTTAAAATAAACTCAATTTTACCAAATTTACATTATAACTAGATATACTTTTTGCATAATTAATTGTCAAAGAGTGCCACAGTTTGACCGAAAAAGGTAAACTGTGACAATCTTTTAGGTATGGAGAGAGTATTTACATATATATCTAAATTTTAATGGTTAAAAATTCAAAATGTGAGGAAAGAGTAATTCTTTTTATATTTTAGAAACATTTGTTTGTGCCACAAGCTTTGATTTGTACAACTATTTATGATCTAAACCAAACATGCAACATTTCGTTCAATTTGTTTTTTCTGTTTATTACTTATTTTTATTATAATTAAATCAGATCAGAAACAACTATAATTATAACTGCAAGCTGATCTGATCAGATTTTCAAAAAATCAAATGAGTCGAACGAAACGTAGCCTCACTTGGTAGCGGATGCGGAATCTTGCTTCCAAGCTCAAACTTGGTTGTGTGGGCCCTTGCTTCGGTCTTCAGGTTCTTGGCTTCTTGCTTTGAAAACCATGTCGTACTAAATCTCGTTAAGGGATTATCAAACCAGCGGGCATTGCACAATTGGTAAAAGTAGGAAATGTCAAGGGAATTGACCCGAGTTCAATTCCTCCCAAATGTGCAAGGGAATTGACCCGAGTTCAATTCCTCCCAAATGTGCAGGGAGGCAACCTTCTATGGTTCTATCATTGTGTGTGTGTGTGTGTGTATTCAAAAAAATAAACAAATGATAAATTATTATAAATATATAAACAATTACATACAAAGTATAATATATATTCGCTTCGTCCTAAAACTATCTTCCAGTTACTATTTACAGAATAAAGTTTTATTCATTTTTCAGTTCTCATTTTTACAAGTCATTTGATAAAATAGTACAGTCATTTTTCCTCTAGTTTTGTAGAATTTTTGATATAATTTGTAAATATATAAATTTATTTTTGAATTCTATACTTGTAATCAAATAAATTAAATTGAAAATAATTTCGATCAAATCTCGTGAGCTAAGATGAAAATTTAATTTTACATGCTAACAAGAATCTCGTGAACCAAAGATTTCCTTGATATCATATTAATGTTACATACTAACTTTTAAAAAAAACTGCCAACAAGAAGGGAAAACAAAAACTCAAAATTGGGAAGCTTATACTATGAGGTAATTTCTTGCAACAGAGATACCTCACAAAAGAGGGATGCAAGAACTCATAAGGATACCTTCTGCTTCTACTTCTTCTTCTTGTCCTTACTTTTCTTTTCTCTACTTGGTTTGTCTTTAGGGCCTTCTTCTTCTTCATCATCTAAGAGATGCTCATACTCCTCAAGTGAAGCAAAAGGGGATGTTGTCTTACGTTTGAGCGACTTCAGTTTCTTTTTCGGACGATCATGGCCGTTGTCCCCATCTGACACATCCGACGGGATATTCACAGCATCATCATCAACAACATCATCATCATTGATCAACTCATCGCCACTTTCATCGGCGACTTTGTCCAAGTCATCATAATCGTACTCCTCAAGATCGGCATCGGTAGACTCCATAATGTTGTCAAGTTCTTCATTGTCACTCTCATCTGCGGCAGAGTCTTCATCAGGATCACTGCCATACCCATCTAATAGCTCATCAGCCATGTCATCCTCGTCCTTGCTCTTCTTCTTCTTAGGTTTCTTCGAAGACTTCATCTTGTTCACATAAAACTTATGGAAAACAAGATCCTCTGGCGGAACATCGGTCTCGGCTAAAGACAGTATTTCTTTCCCAAACAATTTGAAGTTCATCTCAGCCTGCACATACAAAAGAAGAAAGTATAATAATGTTTATGGATGGTGTGCTTACAAAAATCATGATTACCATATACCCGTATGCGATAGTCTAAGGCCAAATAGAGTCCAACGGTGTTGATGACAAAATGGAATTAAAGCTATCCATTATAATCGTAGCAAACAATAGTAGTCTTACCTTCTTGACAGGTTGAATGTCGGAGGCACCATGCCACGTGCTTTGTTTTGGTTTCTTTTCCATGAATTTGTCCAAGAATGCAGTGAGGGAAAGATCATTAAGGGGATTCCCGTTGTAAACAATGTTGGCCCCTGAGAGCAGTGTTCTTGCCATGGTAGCTACTGATGGATGGGCATGCGAAGCCAATACAATGAGCTCCCACCAGCTAACTCTATCTGCATTGCTATTAATGGGTAAACACAAATTTTAGAAACACTTACCACTGACAATGGAACAGGGACCTTAATACCATTTTCTGACTTTTCAAATTTTACTAATGCATTAATCTACTTAAGTATGCGTTGTTTTTGACAAACATTCAACTTTGTGGTTTTTAACAACTGTTCAAAAACAGAATGATGTTTCAAGAACTGTTT